GAGTATTTTATTTTTTATTGAGCCCGCGGTTATGCTACCAAAATCAAAAAATTTTTACAGATCGTTTACAGATAGTGCAATCACAGTGAACTCAATGCTTTTTTGATCGATGAAAAATTCTTCAACCCATCCTGGCACAAGACTGAACCACTAATTTACAAAATATAGTGCAATATTGGTTATTTACCATTAAGTAATACTGTGCAAAAAATTCGACATAAATAGATCGCATGTATTAAAATATTTTTATAGAGGGAAATTGAAAGAAAAAACTTCAGCTTTAAAAGAATTCTGTATTAGAATTAGTTTAAATTAGTTTACATAAGTATAGCACCAGTTGGTAGTAAGGACAAAATTACATATTTTTTTAATGAAGTAATATAATTATCCATCCATCAAGACAGATATTGCAATGTAAAAAAACTCTTCAATGAAAGAAAGTCTTCATAAACCAAATAATCTTAATTTATTTATTTACTTTTCAATGAACAGTTATACGTTTTATGTTTCTATTATTACAAATTTCTACTTACTTTATATAATTATAAAAGTAATTGCACAATTTTTTTTTTAATGCAAAATCATAAAACCACATTTTTTAAGTAATTTAAAATCGAAACATAAAGCTTTTTTTTATTGTATCTTAATTAAAACAGACAGTAAATTGAAAATGTTATATAATCATATAGAAAAACAAAACAAAAATTTGGCTGGGCTGAAAATTGTAGAAGGGTGGAAAGTTTTCATTCAGAATGGAATTTTCCTCTCTTCTACAAACTAATTTTGGATATCGTTAAAGCTAAGGTGATAAACTTTTTGTAAAGAAGTTGAAAACTCATCGATATCAGGCCTCAACTCATTAGGCCTTTGGTATAAAAGATTCTAAACGATGAAAAATCGTCAGTTCCAGTTCTTGGCTCGAAACTGACAATGAACCCAATCGTAAGTCAGACCCTGAGTTTTACATTTTCGAAAATGCACTAACATTTCAATTTTAAAGGTATTCTTCTGCCTTTTCGGCGCTGCAGTAGCTGTGCAATACAGGTGAATATATTTTGCTTGTATATTTTTTATACTGTACGTAACAGTTAAAATCCAGTTTAACAAAAGCCCAGAAAGCTTAAAATTTGTCTTAATACGGATAATTAAGAAAATACCAAGGAATGGAAACAATAATAATGGCAAAAAGGAGGGAAAATTCAAAAGGTGTGGTTGAGATGGGAAGTTAGTGTCCGAGTGGATCCGAGTCCCGAAGGTCGTGGGTTCGAATCCCGCTCGTTACACTGATTTTTTTTCTCAACTAAAAACCTTAATTGAAAGATATTAATTGGTCACAAAACTAGTGAATTTAATAAATAAGAATAATATGAATATGTAGTTGTTTATATGTTTATATACTTTCATAAGCATTCACAATTGATTATATAATTTGCTAAATAAGTAATTGAATAATAATACTGTCAAATTATATGTTTCATTTTCATTTGTACATTATGATCAGGATAAAGTTAAATATGGTGTTTACTTTTGTTTTAATTAGTACAGTTGATTTTCATAATGAAACTACATTTTTCTCTTTATTGTTTAACAAATACATGTATATTCCTTAGAAAAATATAAAATTTAATTTATGGAACTGTCAATTTTAGCGGTGATCACGTTGTGGAAGGAGTAGGATCCGGCTTGGAATACCCTGTCGCTGATGTTCCATTCGTTCGTGCTGGAGTCGTTCCAGAGACCTACAAGTCAGGAGACTTCGATTACACAGCCTATGATCGCCCCTTTACCAAAAAGGCCTACCCCCAGTTTTTCTACCAACCGTACTACCAGGCTGGGTTCCGCAAGTCATACCCGCATGTCAACCCATTTTATCAAAACTTCGAAAGTTTCAATTATCCAGAATACCATGGTGTCCAACAAGGATACAAATACCCATTTGAGTTCTACCAGACCGGCCGCCACTCCTATCCCTACCCTACAGGCCACCAGTTCACCCCTTACCCTGCAGGCCAACACTACTACCCCTACCCTACCGGTCAACACTACTACCCCTACCCTGCCGGTCAGCAGTACTACCCCTACGCAGCAACCGTCTAAGTTTTGCAAGTTGTAAACATCCACATGGTTCAGTTCATCAGAAAATTCAATAGGAAATTTTGTATTTTTCCGTCTGTCTAAATTTGCTGGAATAAATGCCATAAAACATGTTTACTGTTTGTAATATTCTCCTATTTACCGTTTAAAGATAAGAATATATATTAGAAAGTTTTATATATATATATACTCACTTAGATAGCAAAAGATAACAGATTAAAAAATTAAGAAAAACAATCTCACACTATATGAGGGGTGTTTAACCCTCCTATGTCCTGGCTCATTTTTTAAAGGTTATAGTAAAATAAATGCAACATTACAGTAAATAGTTCTTAAAGAAGTAGCAGTCTTTCACATGTTTGAAATATACAATTCATTTAGAGGACAAAAGTGCACATCGCAGACAAACAAAAATGATTCAGATCTGCTGCCTTGTTCTTCTTCATTATCAATAAACCACAAAAATTAGAAACTTTACTTTGTATTCATCGATAAACTCAAATAAAGATAAGTTATAGTAAAACAAAACAGAATATCGTTGATTAGTAAAAACTGAATACAAATAATTATAGTTGTCTTTGTATTATAGTTAACTAACAATTAATTAAGGTTTTTAGTTGAGATAATTATAATTAATTGTAATATATTAATTGGTCAAGCGGACCACGAAATTAGTGAATTTAATTAGTTAACTAAGTCCATTATGCAGGATCCTCGATAATGATCATGTCAATAGTGCTATTATCATTATTTTTAATTTGCTCTGTCATAAACGTCAGGAATGTCATCGTAGTA